CGGAAATTTTTTGTAACACAAAGTACGCTGTGCACCCTAGTATTCAATGAAATGTTAGTTTTTTTTTCATTTTTTATTAATGACCAACGATTTTTTATTCATTTTCTGATAATAAGAATAAAAATGCTTGAAAGATCTATACGCATTTGTCGCCAAAAACCAATTCAAAACATTAACTAGTTTTCTTAATATTTTAATATGTTTTCGAAATTTTTATTAATTTGATACAAACGATGGATGCGGATTAAATCGGAGTTTATAAGTATGCAGTTCTATAAGCCATTCAATTTTAGTATAATTAATCGCGTTGATTTTTTATAACTCTTCTCACACACGCTCTGAAGCTATCCTCCTATTTAAATATTTTCGTCTCAGATGCAAGGTTACACTTTACTACACTAAAATTGTATGGGCTTTAAAACTTAATACTTCAAATATTCATAAAAGATTCTGATTAAAAAGTTTGAAATTTGAAGACTGTTTTCGGAGTTCTATCAAGTTTGCAACACATTTAAATGGTTTATGAAATAAGAGGCATGCTTAAATCATTAATGAAGAGACCCCAATTTTTTTTCTTTTGAGCTTCACTGAACGCACAAAATTAAACGCGACTACTTTATTCTACCAACTGACATAAACTGAATTACGAACGGCGCAAAACCTTTAAAGCATTCCTCTAAAATACATTTGCAACTGTATAAACATCAATTTAATTCAATTTACATGGATGCAACATACGTTGTTAATGGGTTGAACAAAAACTTAACGAAAAATATTTAAAATTAAAAATATTGGAAATAAAAAGAATCACTGCATAACTACACATTTCGGGTGCTCAGTGATAGGTATATTTACGTATGTTGAGTATAGGTCTTTATCTATAGCACCCCCATTTCAAAGAGAGATTGTTTACCACGTTTGTTTATTTTATTTTTTTTAATCTGATTAAAAGGTCGAAAATTTTGATGAAAAATCGTTGATTTTTCCTTTGTTTTGTATAAAGCTTGAAAACTGGGTTTATAGGATTTTATCTTAAGCATGATGCAATTTTTTATAAAATAATTTAAGCTCTCAATATATTTTAAATACTTTTCATATGTTTCTATGTTTAAGAATGACATTGATGTTACCAATAACGACTTTTTTGGAAATATTTTAGCCGTTACCCCATAAACTAGGACAGTTTGCTTTACGTTTTTGGGTCTAAGAAAATCGAAAAAATATAGTATGGTATATTTGTGCATCTTTTGTCAGCTTTCACATGACCAGTATGAGTAACATTGTTGACAGCGCAACTAGCACAACATGAGTTTCAACCGCCCAGCTCAGCATCCCTGTTGCAGCAGTTTAGGGATAGTTCTGAAATTTGTAGGGTGGAACTAGCGCTTTGCCAGACTCTCTAAATTTTTCTGCAGGGAAGTAATAATAATTAAGTAAATACCATAGCTTTTATTTACATATTTTCCATAACTTAAATTGCTATGAACGAACTAATGTAAGGGGGAGGAATATTCCTCAAGCATTTCCAAATTCGTTCCTTCAAAACAATTTAATTCTGTTTATAAATTATGGGCAAGAAGAATATGGCAAAATTGATCACTTTGCCAAATTCCTCTTTTTCCAATGTAATGCGATTAAAGCATACAATTTTGCAACCCTACAAATCACTACAAATCTCTTTCTATGAATTCGCTTTAAGCTAATCTAGAACAATTAATTTACGATACTAAAACTGCAACCCTGTTGTATTTAAGATAGCAACTACATAAGTTCAAGATGAAAACTGAAAAATATACGAGCGTCATTCTTGCCCGCATTTTCAAAACGTTCAGACGTCTAGTACTTTTTTACAAATCTTAATTGGAATTTTTCTGGCTACAAGCCACTTTTGCAATCCGACATGCGTACAACGATAATATCTAACTGTCCGAACAGAAACATAATTGTGGCGCGGTATTCCCGCACTCAAGGCAGCAGCACCAGTGGAGCGCTAGGGCTCCATGCATTCGAAGGCTTGCAGAATACAGCAGCGCCAGGGCTCCACAACGCGAAGGTTGCAGGTATGCCGCAAATAAGGAAGTGGAAAATTCCACTTCACAAATCACTGTGCAGCGTGGTTGTTATTGTGAGTTCTGTACATTAATTTGATAAATTGTATAGGCAGGCGATCTAAACTATTTAATTGTCAAAATTATTACGGCACTTTTACAACCTACTGAATGGCAGCAGCGCTGTAAGTAGTGAAGAAGACGAACCCGAGTCCCCAGTCGATGATGATGGAGTAGCTGTCTCACCGCCTGATTATGACGAGGTACGAATAGCGATTACGCGGCTGAAAAACAACAAAGCTGCTGGAGCTGACGGCCTGCCAGCCGAGCTATTCAAGTACGGCGGCAATGAGCTGATGAGGTGCATGCATCAGCTCGTATGCAGAATATGGTCAGATGAACGCATGCCCGACGACTGGAATTTAAGTGTGCTCTGCCCAATCCACAAGAAAGGCGACCCCGCCATACGCGCCAACTACCGCGGAATCAGCCTTCTAAGCATAGGTTATAAGGTCTTATCGAGTGTATTGTGCGAAAGACTGAAGCCCACCGTCAACGAGCTGATTGGACCTTATCATTGTGGCTTTAGGCCTGGAAAATCCACCATAGATCAGGTATTCACAATACGCCAAATCTTGGAAAAGACCCGCGAGAATAGGATCGACACACACCATCTATTTGTCGATTTCAAAGCCACTTTCGACAGCACGAAGAGAAGTTGCCTTTATGCCGCGATGTTTTAATTTGGTATCCCCGCGAAACTAATACGGCTGTGTAAAATTACGTTGAGCAATACCACCAGCTCCGTCAGAATAGGCAAGGACCTCTCCGAGGCGTTTGATACCAAACGAGGTTTCAGACAAGGGGACTCCCTTTCGTGTGATTTCTTTAGTCTGATGTTGGAGAAGATAACAAGAGCCGCAGAACTGAACCGCTCAGGCACAATACTTTAAAAGAGCGTACAATTGCTGGCGTATGCCGACGAAGTCGATATTATAGGTAAAAACAAGGGCTACGTCTGTTCTGCCTTCTCGGGATTGGATAGAGAAGCAAAGCGAATGGGTCTGGTGGTGAACGAGGACAAAACGAAGTATCTCCTGTCAGCACACAAACAGTCAGAGCATACGCGTCTTGGCACCCACGTCACTGTTGACAGTTACAAGTTTGAAAAAGTAGACGACTTCGTTTATTTGGGAACCAGCATTAACACCAATAATAATGTCAGCCTTGAAATCCAACGGAGAATCACTCTTGCCAACAAGTGCTACTTTGGGCTGAGTAGGCAATTGAGAAGTAAAGTCCTCTCTCGTCGTACAAAGATCACACTCTATAAGTCACTCATCATGCCTGTGCTGGTGTATGGCGCGGAAGCATGGACAATGAAAGCATCTGATGAGGCGGCTCTTGGAGTTTTCGAGAGAAAGATTCTGCGAAAGATTTATGGACCTTTACGCGTTGGTGATGGCGAATATCGCAGACGATTTAACGATGAGCTGTATGAGCTTTACAACGATATAGACATAGTGCAGCGAATTAAAATTCAGCGGCTCCGCTGGCTTGGTCATGGTGGAGAAGAACTTGGCTGCACTTGGCATTTCAAATTGGCGTCAGTTAGCACAGAAGAGAAATGACTGGCGTGCTGTTTTGGACTCGGCCAAAATCGCTTAGGCGGTTACAGCGCCAATAAAGAAGAAGAAGAAGAATATTTATTGCAATATTGTTCTTGAGCTTTGTACCACCATTATGTTAAAAAAAAATGGAAAAAGTAACAAAGTCTAAGCGCTAGAAGTTATAGCTGCTATTTCGGTTTAATCAAATTAGTGTATAGCATTAACAATAACAACCACGCTATCAAGTTTAAATAGCGGCGAATCAGCTGCACTTCATGGTAGTAGGTGGAATAAGGAAATGGATTAGCAACAAGAGTTTACGGGTTGTGCATAGCTCAGTGGTCAGCACTGCTGGCTTTGCACATCGATGATGCAGGTTCGATTCCTTCTGAAGTCTAGAAAAAAAGAGTCTGATGAGATGTGGTGATCTACTATATAGCAGCTATAACTTCTACCACTTAGAATTTGTTGCTTTTCCATTTTTCCTAAAAAATATAATCGTGGTACAAACCTCAGTAACAATATTGAAAAAAATATTGATACGTCACAGTAATATCGACAAGTAAATAGTTCAGAATGAGCCTGCCTCAAGCTATACAATAAATGTAATTAATGTGTATAATTAATAAACAACACGCTGTCAAGTTTAAATAGCGGCGAATCAGCTTTTGATAGTAGTAGGTTGAATATGGAAATGGATTAGCAAGAAGAGTTTACGGGGTCTGCATTGCTCCGCGGTTAGCGTTGCTGGCTTTGCACATCAATGATGTGGGTCCCGTTCTTGCTGAATTCTAATGAGGAGATTTGGTGATCTCGGAAATAGCAGCTATAACTTCTATCGCTTATGACGATTTCGTTCCTACAAAAAATGTTGCCTTCTCATCGCCTTCTTCTAAGTGTTTGAGCGTAGAGGACAAGGAGAAGGTTGCATTTTTCGGTAGAAACGAAATCGGCATTAGACTTTGGTTCTTTTTCAATTTCTCCTAAAAACAAAGCTCAATAACAATATTGAAATAAATATTAATACACCACAATATTGACAAGTAATCAGTTTCCAATTCGGCATTTTACTGTGGCTGGGCGTATTAAACCTTTTTATCAACTATAGTTTAGAAATAAAAGTGACTGATGCTTTGGATTGATTCATTTCTGAGTTATGGGATATTGATCTAGTTTGTTTTTCAAAGATAGTTTTTTCTTTACTTATCAGTTTGGTGCCTTATTCCGTTGCAAGAATATTTCGCCTAACGTATTATTTTAGCTTGAAACATATATTCATTCTATTTGCAAGAATAATGAACAATTTAAAGCAACTACATATGTACATATACTCACAATATTATGTGTATGTTTCTATATAGGTAGCTGATATTCTTACTGTAAAAGGTGGAACTGGTGCTATAATCGAATATCATGGAAACGGCGTTAATTCAATATCTTGCACTGGTATGGCGACGATTTGTAACATGGGAGCCGAAATTGGTGCCACCACATCAGTATTTCCGTTTAATGAGCGCATGGCCACATATTTGAAATCTACTAACCGAAGCGCTATTGCAGACGAAGCAAATAAATACAAAAAACAACTTTTTACTCCAGATGGAAATTGTGAATACGACGAACTAATTGAAATTAACTTAGATACGTTAGAACCTCATGTCAATGGACCATTTACACCTGATCTGGCTCACCCAATAAGTAAATTGGGAGCGAATGCAAAACAAAATGGGTATCCACTGGATATTAAAGTAGGTCTAATTGGCTCTTGTACCAATTCCTCATATGAGGATATGGGTCGTTGTGCTAATATTGCAAAGGACGCAATGACACATGGTCTTAAGTCGAAAATTCCGTTTAATGTTACGCCTGGCTCTGAGCAGATTCGTGCAACCATCGAGAGGGACGGAATCGGTGAAGTTTTTGAAAAGTTTGGTGGCACCGTTTTAGCGAATGCATGCGGCCCCTGTATCGGCCAATGGGATCGAAAAGATGTGAAAAAAGGTGACAAAAACACAATCGTAACTTCGTATAACCGCAACTTTACTGGGAGAAATGATGCTAATCCTGCAACCCACTCATTTGTTACCAGGTGAGAACCAATACTAAAAATTTGAAAGAATGAGTTGTATTACGAGATATTTTTTGGAATATGAAGAACTGATGAATTTTTACATGGTAGATCTTTTTGAATACTGTAATGCCAACCGCAGGAACAATAAAACTTGATTTGTGGGACTCAGGGGGTTGCGGAACCGCTATCTTGAAACAAGAGTGGCCAACTTTTTCCCCAAATTAGAGCAAGAGAAATTTTAGGGCCTGAACTAAACTATTCCTAAACGTTAGCATCCATGTGGTAGTCAAGTTCCAATAGGATTTTTGTATGAGAAGATTTTCTTGACAGATGAATACTTACGCGGAAGTTTACCATGGCCATTCCGAGAACGATCGCTAGAAGGAAACAACTATTATTGCACAAGGAATTGGACTGGTACGGCGCATGGGAGGGCGCAATATAATTGATTTTACCGTTCAGAATTAATTTTTGACGCAGACATCAAAAATGATATTTTAACGTGCAACTAGTGAAAAACAACTTATTCGTTCTTCTGACATAAGTATACAAGTATGAACCAGAGATCAGTTGCGGTGTATAGTTATAGTATGCGTAGTCGAATTTGAATGTCCGAATGCGGTGCACCGTATTCTACAGTGGCTCAATAAAGAACTCGGATACCCAAGTGATATGATTTCAAATAAAATAAAATTATAGTTTAAAAAACTAAAAGCTCGCTTTTATTACAACGTGAACTAGACAAAATAATAATTTATAGAAATACAGATTCTAGAAAAAAATAATAATTTATAGAAACACAGATTTTGTTTAAGAGGAATAGGAAGTTCCCTACTTGATTTAATTAAACTTTTAAACCCAGCCTAAAATAAATAATTGAAATAATTGACAATAAAATTAATTTACCGGAAAACAAAATCAGGTTGTTCGTCCTTGTACGTTACATTCTTGTTGCTATGCGTATTTTACAGGTGTGTCCAACGTTGCTCCACTGATGCACACATGGTAATATCGATGAGGCCAGAACTGCGTGCATGAGTTTCTGCTTTGCATTCGTTCTTGTGGTTGTTGTAGTGGTATTAAACGAGCGTGATTTTGACAATCACTTAACCGATGGCGGATTGTATAGGCTAGGACTACGTAGAACGTTTATTAATTATGAAGAATAAATATTCTTTGTAAGCGAAAACTAGGGGTTTATATCAGCATTTTGATTCGAATTTTCTGAAAAAGTTTAATGTATTAAAAAGTAAGTTTGGCTTTCTGTATAAACTTGACAAGCTGAGAGATCTTGGCTTGATCATTACTTTTAAAGATTTCTTCAAAATTGTTAAAGTTTCAAAATAAATCGAATTCAGGTCTAAGATTCACATGACTTCTGCAATGAAATGTTCATAATTATCGGTTTGACCACAGTAGCATCTAGGTGAGTTAAAGGCTTTTATTTTAACTAAGTACGCTTTATCGTATGTATGTCCCGTCAATATTCTGTTTAATGTTTTGATATCAGTTGGCGATAGCAAACTTTTTTCGAACCAAGCAAATTTCTTTCTACTACGTACATGGCTTGGAGTCCAAACCAGACGGTCAATTTTCGTTCTACGTTATTACGAAATGATACAAATAACACTTTTACACTGCATTTATTTCAGTGTTACTTTTATAGTTTTCACTTCACTTCACGACAAAGCAGACTGGGAATTGACCCTCAGAGCTACTTCAGTTAAGTCCGCTTCAATAATCCTAATATGAATTTGATGTGCAATGCTGGTTTTGGTATTAAGATATCTTAGGATTTGGCAAGAGGTGAGACTGTCGGTGAAAATAATGCTTATCATTATTGATGCTTCGTCAATCGCACAAAGTTCACCAAACGTTGATGACGCCCTGAAATCAATACAGTAGAGGTGTTCAGTGTTATTAAATCAGTTGTATATTCCTAAACCAGTGCTTTCTTCAGATATAGACTGGTCAGTGTACATTATGTAGAAATTATTGTTCTTGAAGTTGTTAAGAATGCTAAAATGATAGGATTTAGACTTGCACTGGACATGATGATGGATGAAAAGGAGTGGATCAATACGGTCAAGGATATCTGAGAATTTACTGCATACAGTAGAATAGCTGGAGTAGTGAGGATCGGAGGTTATAGAATTTAATATGTGATCATTAAAAGCAAGGATTTTTATTAATTCTTTAGCCGTAAGCCATATAGCTCGTTCATTAGGAGCGAGTTCATTTGCCAATGCGTTCATAACTGGGATGGGTGTTGACGGGGTTAGTACAAGACATCTTAAGAATTTGTTTTGCAAGGTAGATATTTTCTTAAGAGATGATTTAGCACAGTTGGCTGCCGTGGTACTGCAGTACTCTATTTTGGACCTTACTAGAGATTTATAAATGTTCAAAGCGGGATATTAGTGACATATTTAAACAATTTGATGTTATTGGTCGCAGAATTAACAATCATGGAATGACAATTTTTAATCGTGTGAGAGCTGCTGATTCTGCCAAGTATTTTCAAGCTGAACACTTGTCCAAGTCTGGTACCATTTATGGATATATTTATGGTTTTAATAGGACAGGATTAAATGAAAGGTTTAGTTGATTGCATTTATTGATTAAGGGATTTAGTTTCACCTGTAAATTTTGTTGGGCTTCTCAGAGATTGGTACCAGTTGCTACAGGTAGAAATCGTCCGCAAATTGAAATATTTGCACATTATTGTCGTTTAAGTCGTGTAGTTTTGAGGTATACACATATGTTGAGAAGTAGAAGTGACAGGCGCGAGTTCATTTGCCAATGCGTACATAACTGGGATGGGTGTTGACGGGGTTAGTACAAGACATCTTAGGAATTTGTTTTGCAAGGTAGATATTTTCTTAAGAGATGATTTAGCACAGTTGGCTGCCGTGGTACTGCAGTACTCTATTTTGGACCTTACTAGAGATTTATAAATGTTCAAAGCGGGATATTAGTGACATATTTAAACAATTTGATGTTATTGGTCGCAGAATTAACAATCATGGAATGACAATTTTTAATCGTGTTAGAGCTGTTGATGATTCTGCCAAGTATTTTCAAGCTGAACACTTGTCCAAGTCTGGTACCATTTATGGATATGTTTATGGTTTTAATAGGACCTCTGCTAACATGCATAAGTTGTGTTTTCACAGGATTAAATGAGGGGTTTAGTTGATTGCATTTATTGATTAACGAATTTAGTTTCACCTGTAAATTTTGTTGGGCTTCTCAGAGATTGGTACCAGTTGCTACAGGTAGAAATCGTCCGAAATTTAAATATTTGCACAGTATTGTCGTTTAAGTCGTGTTGAGAAGTAGAAGTGACAGGCGCGAGTTCATTTGCCAATGCGTACATAACTGGGATGGGTGTTGACGGGGTTAGTACAAGACATCTTAAGAATTTGTTTTGCAAGGTAGATATTTTCTTAAGAGATGATTTAGCACAGTTGGCTGCCGTGGTACTGCAGTACTCTATTTTGGACCTTACTAGAGATTTATAAATGTTCAAAGCGGGATATTAGTGACATATTTAAACAATTTGATGTTATTGGTCGCAGAATTAACAATCATGGAATGACAATTTTTAATCGTGTGAGAGCTGTTGATTCTGCCAAGTATTTTCAAGCTGAACACTTGTCCAAGTCTGGTACCATTTATGGATATATTTATGGTTTTAATAGGACAGGATTAAATGAAAGGTTTAGTTGATTGCATTTATTGATTAAGGAATTTAGTTTCACCTGTAAATTTTGTTGGGCTTCTCAGAGATTGGTACCAGTTGCTACAGGTAGAAATCGTCCGAAATTTAAATATTTGCACAGTATTGTCGTTTAAGTCGTGTTGAGAAGTAGAAGTGACAGGCGCGAGTTCATTTGCCAATGCGTACATAACTGGGATGGGTGTTGACGGGGTTAGTACAAGACATCTTAAGAATTTGTTTTGCAAGGTAGATATTTTCTTAAGAGATGATTTAGCACAGTTGGCTGCCGTGGTACTGCAGTACTCTATTTTGGACCTTACTAGAGATTTTTAAATGTTCAAAGCGGGATATTAGTGACATATTTAAACAATTTGATGTTATTGGTCGCAGAATTAACAATCATGGAATGACAATTTTTAATCGTGTTAGAGCTGTTGATGACTCTGCCAAGTATTTTCAAGCTGAACACTTGTCCAAGTCTGGTACCATTTATGGATATGTTTATGGTTTTAATAGGACCTCTGCTAACATGCATAAGTTTGGTTTTCACAGGATTAAATGAAAGGTTTAGTTGATTGCATTTATTGATTAAGGAATTTAGTTTCACCTGTAAATTTTGTTGGGCTTCTCAGAGATTGGTACCAGTTGCTACAGGTATACAGGATATTGGGACATTATTGTCGTTTAAGTCGTGTAGTTTTGAGGTATACATATATGTTGAGAAGTAGAAGTGACAGGCAGCTGCCTTGTGGTAAACCATTATAGATGTCGCCAGTGTTATTTAAAATTTTTAAAATTCTGTAAGCAAGAAAGTTTGTGATCCATTCAGTATATAGGCTTTCAACATTTAGTTCAGATAAATGGCCCTAATAATTTGTATATCCACGCAGTTGTACGCATTAGAGATGTCCGTTAAGCAGAAAATTACCTGTTTTTTGTGAGAGGTTTGCAAATTTATGTGGTGTAGGATATGATTGACACATACAGGGTTGGTTCCGGAAGGTACCATTTTGTACGTTATTTTATCATACCCTGCAGCTGAATTTTTTCTCTTTTTGTTCAATCTAGTTTGTATCTCTTCAAAAGAAAACGCTAACTTAGGATCTGGAACTACCTCTTTTTTTAACGCATTATTCTCGTGATTCCACTGATTATTACTATTTTGACTAAAATCGCCTCTTAAAGCTTTGACAAAACGCCGTACGTTCCTACCCTTATCCAAATTTATTTCCTCAACTTTGCTGTTAAAGTTGCCGTTTTTGGCCCTTTTGATTTTGTCATAAGATGTTCCAAA